TAAATTAATTTATTATTAATATTTAATTCTACTATAAAATAATTAACCCACCCCCACTTCCACCACCCCTACAACTCCGGGAATATTCCGGCGATCTTTCCGGTCACCACTCTTCTCCGACGACCTTTCGATTCCAGCGAATATGTTAAAGTCACAGATCTATACAATTTGGTCACAATTCGAAATTTTTTAGACCATAATTCAAAATTTTCATAGGTCACAATTTGTTCATCGGTCACAATTGAAAAATTTAAACGTCACAATTTTTTCATTGGTCACAAATCACAAAATTTATAAGACAACTTATTTAGGCCACAATTTATCAATTTATTGGTCACAATTAAAAATTTTTAGGTCACAAATTAATAATTTTTAAGTCACAATTAATAATTAGTGGTCACAAACAAATCAAATTATTTGTGACCACCACTAAATCACAAATCACACGCAGAACAAACAACCACCGCCAACACCACCCAAACACGGAACCACGACCGCCACTACCACTCCAACGACGACAAATACCACGATCTCACCACAAAATGGGCGATTCGGACAATTCAAAACCCCCCCCCCCCAACTACACCAACAGAACACAGACAACCAACCTCAAATTTGGCTTGTTTACGCGTGTGGTAATGGTGGCTGGAAGTGGAGCAACCACCATCCACCACAACTGAAACATAGCCCAAAATCTCACACCAAATCACGACGCGCAGCCCACGACACAAAAATAACCCAAACACCAACACCGCCGCACGACGCACACACAACTACAGCAGCACCACACGACGCAAATTCACCACAAAAAAAAAAAAGATACTGATCGTGCAGAGGCGCGTTGCACCGCGCTGTTGAAAAACCAACTGGATCTGTGGGCAAGAAGGCCGAAAATGGTGGAGAACGACATCGACGTCGTAGCGGTGAGGAAGACGACGATGGTTGTGGTGGTGTTGTGGGAGTCCGCGCTGCTGGAAAAAACATAGATCTAGATCTATGGGCTCTCATCGACGGGGGGAGGTGCTGTTGGCGGCGGGTTCCAAGCACAAAAATGGGAGGAGATAATGGGATAGAGGGAAATGAATTTTAGGGTTGGTTTGAGTAATTTTAATTGAAATGAAAATTATATAATTAATATTAAATTAAATATAAAAAATCTGATTTTTGAAAAGTTAAACTCGTAATGTGATTTTTGAAAATGGAAATCTAAAATCAGGGGTGAGTGTAATTTCCCCTAATTATTTTTCTATAAACTTACAATTCTTTCATTTCAAATTTACAGAAGATTACAAGTGCCTTGAACCCAGCAAGGCCCATCTGTGTCGCTTGCTGGGCTAAGGGGTAGGCCTGTGGCACAGGGTGCCCAAAAATTGGGCCGATCGATTTTTTTTACGCTTCTAAATTGTCGGCTCACTTCTATCTTACTTTTTTATTTATAATAATTATCTCAACACCTAATACGCGTTTACAAGGAAAAAATTCCAATCTTATCAAACACGTAGCCCCTGTTTGTCTACTATTAAAATAGGAAAATGAGCTTTAGAATATTGAATTTGTTGAGAATGTGTGGTTAAAATTTCCTTACAATATTTTTTTTTGTCCAGGCAAACAATTGAAAAAATTGTGGCACTAATATATTAACTGAGGAACAGACAGAACCAAAAGTCAAGAAACTACCCATAACTTGCTGATCCCACTTGTCTTTTCAATTGAAATCAAGAAAATCCAAAGAAAATGCTGGCAGTGTTTGATAAGACTGTGGCCAAAAGCCCTGAGGCTCTGCAGAGCCCACATATTGCAGAATCGGCGTTTGCACTCAAAGATGGATCCTTGGCTAGCCATTTCTCGTCCCTGAACCCTGGCTCTGTCATTATTAATCTCGGTTCATGTGGGTTCGTGTCATACTCTTCTGATAAGCAAAACCCTCTTCTTCCAAGGTAGTTTATGCATAGTGTCATACTCTTCTGATAAGCAAAACCCTCTTCTTCCAAGGTAGTTTATGCATATTATATCTTTTGTTTGTCCTTCTTGATCTGATCTGGATATTTTTTTGTTTTTTTTGTTTTTTTGATTTGATGATTATAGTTTATCTGGATATTATCTGTTTGTATGGATTTTCTTAATTGGAGATTGAGAGTGTTTCTGGATGTTGATAATGATGGGGACTCATGGATGATGGATCTTGCTTTTCTTTTTAATTTTTTGAACAAAATTGGGAAAAAGTGTTGGTGGGTTCTTTGGTGGTAATCATCTTTTTGTTTTGTTTTTTTTGTTTTTTTTTTTTTTNATTATGTATATGTATATAATTATGTAAATCATTTTATACATGTGGCACAACAGTTTTTTTTTTTTTTTTTTTCTCTTTTCATTTCTAATTCCGAAAAAAAAAACACCATTTTTTGGTGTGTTGCTTCGTTTAATTACGTTTTTTTGGGACCAATTAATAGTGTTTGTGGGAAATGCATATTCTCAAGATTGGCCAATTTCTTGATTGATGAGTGTTTTATCCTGTTTATAGACTTCTCAGTTTGTGTTTATCAACTTTATCCTTTAGTTTGTGTTTACATGGGTACCAGCCTGGATGGAATGATCTGTCATTGAAGAGTTGCAACAAATTTGAAAATTTCCAATCGTCCCTTTACATAAATTGGGTCGAAATTATAGAGCTTTTGAGCGATTGTTATGAGAAGGTTTTGTAGAGACAATGTTAAATGTTCATGCCATTTTTTTACACTTTTACTATATAATCAAAACATATTGTTAGTGTTTGTGGGAAACACATGTTGAAGATTGTTCAATTTCTTGATTGATGAGTGGTTTATCTTGTTTATGGACACTTTTTGCAGTATCTGATCATCTTTGTCTTATAGTGTGTGTTTTTATGGGTAATGGTCTAGATCGAATGATCTGTACTTGAAAAAATCTACAAATTTGAAGATTTTCAATTGTCCCTTTAAGTAAATTCTGACATTATATTATCGTCTGTGAACGATAGTACTGAGGAGAAGAGAAGGTCTCGAAGAGATATTGTTGAAATGTTCAAGCCATAAATTTTGAACTTATACTAATGTATTATCAAAAAAATATAATACCTGTATTTCACTTGCTACAGAAATTGAATGACAATCTATTCCAGTCACGACCTATAATCTGACTTGCAATGACCAGAATAATTGGCACATAGATTGAAGTAAAACATATGATGTCAGAACATATAATTCCCCTGGCCCCCATTTTTTAAAATTCATTTTCCTCAAACTGATTTTCAACCCTCACAACTTTTATTAACTTTTCAATCACATCAGTTTTTATTAAAATTTACTAAAAATATGATTTTTAGCTAAACCAAAAAGGGTCAATATGTATGTTCAAATGGGTGATTGATTTATCAGTCACTAGACCTAACAGCCCACATCGGTTATAATTATGAGCTGTGAGCACAACGACTTCAATATGGAATCAATAGCAAAATGGCCCCATTGTACAACTTCACATGCTCTTGTTTCATTTCATTGAAATTTTTACTTCTTGTAGTTCAGAATGTTACTGGTTTGCTATTCGATAGTTTGGATTGGTCTAATCGTTTTATTGTCTTTTTAAGACTGTTCGCTGTTGTGGACGATATATTCTGCGTGTTCAAAGGCCACATTGAGAATGTTATGCATCTCAAGCAGCAGTATGGATTAAACAAGACAGCAAATGAAGTGATCATTGTTATTGAGGCTTACAGGACTTTAAGGGACAGAGGTCCTTATCCCGCAGATCAAGTTGTAAGAGATATTCAAGGGAAGTTTGCATTCATTCTCTATGACAGCTCATCAAAAGCCACATTTGTTGCAGCTGTGAGTAATTCTTAATCCTTTCAACATGTAAAATTTTATTCCATTAGCACCTCATACAGGTTGTATCTTGCTCACCCCATATGCTTCAATATTTCTAATACAGGATGCTGATGGGAGTGTACCATTTTTCTGGGGAACTGATTCTGAAGGTCATCTCGTGCTCTCTGATGATGGAGAAGTTGTGAAGCAAGGCTGCGGAAAATCTTTTGCTCCATTCCCCAAGGGTACTTTTTTTGGGCATGAATTTTAAATAATTGATAGTTGTTTTGATGTGTATTTTACATGGTCTAGCATTATTTTCGGTTGCTGACATACCATTTGTTGTTTGAAATTGGAAGATGAAAATTGTATGAGAAATAACTAAGCATGGCATTGGTATTATTGATGCAACGAAACTTTGAAGCCACTTCACATTTTGAGAGGTGCTTCCTTGTTTTATTTCCACGTGGATGACAAAATCACTTGGAAATCTCCTTTATTTGAATGTCTCGAGACTGTTGAGGATGGTCCAGTGGGGGATGGCATTCTCACCAAATTTTTTCTTTTATTTGACTTCTCACGTTCATCTAGGTGAATGTTTGGCAAAGCTGGAATTATAATTTGAGCTGGTAAACATACTTTTTATCCACACATTTTGTAGGATCTCAACTATTACTCATTTATTATCCACACGTTCCGTAGAACCCACAACTTATAATCACTTGAAAGAACCCCCACGCATGCTCTAGTAAATTGAATGAAAAACAGAGTGCTTAATTTTGTTCTTCCTTTCTATGATTGAAAGTTCCATTTTCTTTCTCATTCGTGTCAGGATGCTTCTTCACTTCTTCTGGAGGTCTACGGAGTTATGAACATCCCATTAACGAGTTGAAGGCAGTCCCGAGAGTGGACAGTTCGGGCGAAGTGTGTGGTGCAACCTTTAAGGTGGACTCAGAGTCGAAAAAGGGAAAAACTGGCATGCCTAGAGTCGGAAGTGATGCAAACTGGTCTCAACATATATGATATAAATATGAATAATTGTTTCTTACCATTGTATTTCAACATCCCACTCTCTTACGTGTAGTTAGGCCATTTTAGGCCGGGAAACACAAAATAACAGACGTTAGATTTATGTAATAACATATGGGGTGGCCTCTGTTAGATGTATTAACTCTTTGTTGTATGCTTTGTTCTTGCATTCTCGTAACTTATTATGAGGCGTATAAACTAAGCCTTTGTTTGACCGCTTTTTTTTCTTTGGGGGTGGGGGGGAATTGTGTCTTAGAATAATGATTTTATGAAGAACATGTTGAAAAAAGGAAAATTTTTGAGTTTACATGTAAAATTATTTTATGGAAAAATGTGTTGTTGAAAATAAGTTTTGGAAAAATGAAGCCCAAACAGGGGCTAAATTATCAGTCTGGAACGTTCAATTTGATCAAGTCACTGATTTGCTTTTGACATCTTGTTCTTTAAATTGGAGAATGCTGCTAGCTTCCTTAGTTTATATCCATACCACCTTGTTTCGGTACTTTGGTCTGGACGTCCCCCACTTGAGCGCAGATAAAAGGATTGCATCTCCCCTTCCAGGGAGGCTTATTTATAGTTTCATTGACGGCTGAGATAGCTTTGTCAACAATGCCGTCTCCAAAGGAGTTAAAAAGTGAAGACTCTGGACAAGAAAAAGAGTGTATTTACGAAAATAAGCTTTAATTTATATTTTATAAGTTAGCCCCCATTTGGTGCACATTCTGAAGAAAAGAATGCATTTTTACTGTTGATGTGATAAAGAATATGTGATTGAAAAAAAAAAAAGATGTGATGGAAAATATTATTTTATTGAAAAATGTGTGGTTGAAAATGAGTAGAAGAATGAGAATGAAAAAAATAATGTTGACCAAATAGGGCCTTAATATCCAATTTTTATTTTTCCAAAGATGCTACCTTGGAAATTATGCAGTAATGTTAGGCTTTATAAGGTCAGGCCAACCCACTGTCTATGTAGTGTTTTTAGATCGGTTGTCCATTTGAGCTTAAAAATAGGCAGACGAGCTCAATTTGAATGTGTAGGTGTTCACAAATTGTTAAGGTTGTTAAATGAGGTGAGACTGGTGAGTCAAGTCGCTCAATCAAAGTGCGGCTTGGATCGCTCTATGAGATTGTCATTTGATGGGGTTGAGTCGAACTTGCTTGTCAATTTTTAATAATTGAAATTGCTTATTTCTCTAAATTTGACGAGCTAGCTCCTGAGCCATTGGCTAGCCAGCTTACACACAAGCCAATGAGCTCGCTCGTGAGCTAACTTGCTTAGCTCGAGAATTAACTCATACGAGCCAATGAGCGGCTCACAAGAAAAATTCAATGTTCGGATCACTAGTGGGATGAGCCGAACTGGTGAGCTGCTCGTCACTTAGCATCCCCAACAAGCTGTATTGCTTTATTGTGAGGTTAATTAATTGGACTAGTTGGCTCAATGTCTCTCTTTAACATCATGTTTGATATCCATTCTTTTAAAACTACATTTTTTTCCATCTTATTTTCAAAAACACATTTTTTAATAAAATAATATTACAAGCAAATTCAGAACTCTTATTTTTTATTTTTTAATCACATATGTTTCATTAAATCACTATTTAAAATGCATTATTTGGAGAATAACGTGCATCAAACAGGGTGTAAAGAAGGAAATTGAAAATTGTTAATTATTGTATATCCTCAGTTTTTAAAGCCTAGTCTTTTCCAGAAATAGCCTGGCTGGAACATTGCTAATGCTACTGATCTATCCAATTAGCCTCGTATAAGCCTGTAACATGGCTGGCTGCTAAATGGATCAGCTAGCAACAGTTGTTTCATTTTATAAATTTTGCCACCAACCCCAAATGCTTTACCATAATTAATCCTCCCGACATAAAAGGAAAAGGCCGCCACCTTCTTCCTTTTCTTTTTTTCCCTTTTTTTCCTAATACACAGTTAGACCGAAATTACATCATCTGAATGTTTAAACCATTAAGAGTAGAAAAGCATACATAACTTAGTCTTCAATACCTTCTCTTACACGTTGACACGTGCACAATTTTCATAAACAAGTGAGTCGCGACGATAAGATCTTTTGCTATTTGCTAGAATACACGAGTGTCCTTTAAGTAAAATAGATTATCCTTTTTTTTCTTATATATAGATAGAGCCATAGAGGCTAATGGGTTGCACCTGCAGCATTCTTCTCCTTTACTGCCTTCCGTTTTTAACATTTTTTACAACTATGTACTGTAAATGTGAGTCTGTGACCTTATCCTACATAATGATTTATTATTTATACACTAATTTAGGTCTTCACTTAAAGAGTCCAGAGGACCAGTCTATCACCTCCGTATCCATGCTCTTCTGTCACCTTGTTTGCTATAAGAACTACAGAAGAATACCAGAATCTAATTGGCTATATGCTTTAAAGGGCTCTTCTGCAAGTGGCAAACTGAGTGGTACTTTGATTTCCTTTAAATTTATTATTTACCTCAAGAAAATGAGGGATTCACAAGTCATTTTCTAACCAGGTTACAAATTTCAGAAAGTGTGAAGTGTCAAAGTCCAACAAATGGCAATTTGGAAGGAATTATAAATGCACGTCTTTATATAAAATATATGCTTTTCATTTGTTTTGCAATTACTATATAAAATATATATGGTCCTCTTCTTGCTAGCCTTATCTCCTGATAAGTATATACAAGTATGTGTATTAAGGGTCCCCCACCCATTAAACCCTAAAAGTTAATGATCTGCAATTGCATGGTGGAGGTGGTGGTGGCTTCACAATATTCAATTCTATAAATTTTCTATTGTTTTCAATAATTTTATGGATTATATAATATTAAAGCTTTTCTTCACCATCTATATTTATTCCCTTCTTCTCTTTGGACCTCTATTTATTCCAACATTCCCTTCTCTTCTCTAGAGGATCTTCGATAGAAGTGTAAAATTGAATGTAAAACAAGATCTTCACAATCACTTTTGCATCCTAATTTTCATTATTTCCTTTGCATCTCTCCATTGGAGAGGTTTTCGGCCACCTTGGAGATCTAAATTTGATCTATTTTACACCATGATTGGAGATGCCTCTAAGCCAAACATTAAGAAGATGGTAGTTATAAGTTGTGTTGAACCCTAAGTTCTATGATAATATTCTCGAAAAATTTATGTTTATCATTACTAAATTATCATCGTAATTGCGTTGCAAAAGATTTAACTTCATTGAAATTTTATTGCTAATAAAATCGTTGTTGTATTTTCATCGTTAATGATGCACGGCTTAAAATAGAACTTTTCAGATAATGAAAATTTTTCAAAATAGGCTGCGGCATTATATTCACAAAACATGAAGATTCTGAGAAGTGCAGCCTGCTGGAATTCACACAATTTGTGACTTCATGTTAATGTGTAACATGGAAGGAAAAAAAAACTTGGATTTAGACTGAGAGATGTGACATACAGTTGAAAGTTAACTCGATGGGATTACTGTAGAATTTTAGTCTGAAAGAGTAGAAATTTTAGTTTCTGAGTTGTTTATTCTAACCTCATAAATTTTATGTTACTGAATGAATCAAAATTTCTTCGACATATATTGAAAGGAAGTTTAGTTTGTGGTTGTTATATATCCACCTACGTGCACACAAACATCTAATTGAATGGAATACTATGAGCCTACGGATATGAGTGATTGTAATTAAACCAAGGGTCTCATGTCAGGATGAGACACTTGTACCTTTTAAACACGAGAAATGTTTTAGTAAGATGATCTTATATGCACATATTATAGAACCAACTATTTAAATCACGAGGCATTTGACCCTAAATTATTCAAATCATGACACATTGATATCCGATGTCTATTTTGTTTCTTTCTCTTACCAATTCAGATGCACAAGTCATGATTTGCATATTTCGAGGTCTGAAATGTCAAGATTTAAATGGCCGATCAACTACGTCCGCATATAGAATCGTCAAATTGAAGTATATTATCTTTAATGCATGATCAGACCAAGTCAAGATGCCTTCTTAGTTACATGACCAGATCAAGACGAATAGGAATTTTATTGCTGTTCAATCAGAAACACCAATAACACTAGATCAAATATTCCCAAGAACAAAAGGTTAATCTTAGGGAAGAACCCATTTTCGTCTGCATGCCCAGCGTTCAAATAACATTTATGGATGTTAAAAAAGTAATGCAGAATGGCAATGTTCGACATCCCTAATATGACAAAACATCTATGCAATAAGATTTTCCTAGCTTCAAGAACCCCTAGCTAGTATAAATGTATGTTTAAATACGTATTGAATTATTCAAATTAGCAAAGATTATATCAACACCGGTATAATAAAGATTAGTTTTGAATTAAAAGAGAAGGAGAAGTTTAGCCTTTAAATTATCTCGAACTATTCAAGGCAAAGGGAAAGGTAAGCACCTGTAAAATTTTGGGTTAAACAGAACCTACAATTAACAACCAAGAACTGAAAGGTATATTGCAGAGAGAAGATAATGCCTAATAATTAAAGCTGCAAATTAGCAGTACTGCAAGAATCTAGGTATATCAAGGCTCACCACCCAAGGCATATCTAGGGTTCTTTGAATCATAGATTTGGAGTCAATCAAGAATTCTTGTTAAAGAAAAAAACTTACAATCCTTCAATATTTTCCTTCCATTTCTTTACTCCAAAAATACCAATCTGTCATAAGCATAAAACAAATTACAAGTATACCAAAATAATGAAGATAGTGGAAATTACATATGAAGAAACCAAGAAGGGAAATTACACATACCTTTCTCCACTAAAAGAAACCCTAAATAATTATAGTGATATTAGGGTTCATATAGAAATTAGGGTTTTTTTTTCCGTGTCACAGGCATCAGATGAAGCTGCCATATGATCTGATCTTTCCTTAACAAACAAGAAAGGTTTAGATCACGCTGGCAGCTTCAATTGATACATGTGCACGATGATGAAACAAGTACTTTCTCGATTCCTACGAG